GTGGGACCCCCAACCTTCGGATGTGCTTATCTGCATGGACAACCCAGGGGCCCCTCCACGGACACTTCCCTATGGCCAAGGATCATCTGCTGAAACTACGGAACAGGRGTCACATGCAYGCGACCCCAGGGGCCTAAAAAACTCACTGGTCATGCTCTAAAAAGGYGGATKYATGTTAAAACASTTCTAGAAAAGTTTGAATATGCATAAATGTCTATGAATAGATATTAGGCTGATGCAATAYGAAATKTATTTAAAGATRCCTCTTGTCAATAGCCAGCGTGCCTCTGGCAGATCGCCAAGCACCCRAGGTTGTTCCTTTTGCTTTTATGTACCCTATTGTCATTTATTAAAACCCTTTARATTTTAACAAGAAAGTGAATCTCATTTTTCACACTAAATATACATTTTATAAAGGCAGATGAAAACTTACCAGATAGTAAGAAAAAACGAGACACAAAAATACACCAAATGCAAAGAAAATACTGTGAKTTATAAAGCGTGCTTTTAACAGCATTTCTGAGTTTCATGTGCTAAACACCTACTCTTGACCTCGAATTGACCTTGAAGTTTATGAGCTAAAGGTAACAATTATGCAACAGCTAAAATATGCAGACAGGACTTTACTGCCTAAAAAGAACTGCTGTCCTGTGTTTTGTTTGAATTAGCACACTTTGCTGTTTATGAAACTTAGCTTTGTCCTTTTAGGAAGCCAGGGGGAAGGGAGTGCCGGTAGCCAGTGAGCAGAAMCCTCAGAACAAAGTGGGGGGTGAGCACGGGAGGGTGGCACATGCATCGGGTTAGGGTAGTTCTGCAGCAGAGGTTACCATCTCTTTCTTTGTGCCATTTCTGAATGAAAATAAGTTATCCCAGGGATATCTCCAGACAGAGATTTGATGCTGGAAAAGCTTGGTTGCAATATAAGCTTCCAGGGAGGGTGAAATGAACCTTTTTTATCTAAAGCACTTGCTCAAAATAAAATGGCCTTGTCAGAGACTTGGCTTTATTAATTTTTATCATGTCTTACAGCCTCTACAAGGTGTCATTGAATTTCAACCTCTGAGTCATGGTGCATTCATGCAGCAGTGAAGTGATTGTATTGCATTTGCTGTACTTTGCATTTGCTGTACRTTGCAGCTCTTTTTCTGAACACAGAAATTAACTGTGAGAAATAACGTGTTTAGTCTGTTACCTGGACAGTAATCACAGGTATCYCTTATAGTTTCAATGGATGTATCTGTATTTCATCCTTTTGTAAATAGAAGGTTTATTTTGCTGTTTAAAAGGGAAAAAAAWTCCTCAAACAAAACCACCTCCAAATCTCCCGCATTGTTCTTTTCCTTTGAATAATGCAATAGACAATGATGTGACATTTAGAAAGTAGAGGCACACAGACATACACAGTTTTACAAATAAACTTCCTTGTTTTTCTTCCTTTCTAGCAGGATGAAATCTCAAAGCAATACAGGCTGTTCATGACATACATGCATGTCACTAATTTTGGCAATAAATGACACATTCCTCAGGTCCTGTTTTACTCTCTGTGTTGGCCACAACCACCTCCTTTGTCATGAGAGGCCTGCCAAAGGTGCCCTTTCAATTTTACTACTGTTTTTCATMCTTTACTACCTTGGAGCAAGTCACACAGTGCCTGCATCAAGTGCACAGTGATATTTTTATCTACTTTTCTTGCAGATGAGTTTAGGGAAGATGCTGATATTTGAAGAGTACTTGTAAGATATAAAGGGCTACAACCTTACAATCTGTTCCTCTCAGGCAAAATCAAATGTACTCTCTGCTGTTCCAGCTCTGCAACAGGGAATGAGAAAACTGAGGAAATTCCAGGGTATTGCTTTGAACAGCAGGTGTTAGGTTGCTGTTTGTCTTTCCCAAACAGATGTTTTAGCTGCAGAAGAAACACACCAAATGCACATACTCCAACCCTGGAAAAATTTAAATCTGTTTATTAAAATGATTGGAGTTGTTTTATTAATACTAAAACTCCCTGAGAACTAATTATTRTTGATGCTGTGAACTCACTTGGGCATGTTACTTATGTTTGGTGACAAATTTCCCTAACAGCATCWGACAGCGTTTTCTTTCATAGTTTATTTTATGCAGAGGTTTCTATGGCTGCARAATCCTCTAAGTAGTAATGAAATCCTCTCATTTTCTCCAAAAATAGGTGTGAGTGCTATTATTCATTAGGAAATCATAATAAAATGAGTCCCTTTGCCCAGCTGGCTTTCCTGGGAACTACAGGAGGTTTTTGATAATAAAATCAATCTCTTCAGTACTGCCAGTGTGAAATACTGTTCATCATTCTTGCTATCTTAAAAATTTGTTACACTTCTATTCTAGGTTTCATGGACCTTAAGGTAAATTATGACATATGAGATATCATTCTTTTTTTTCAATTTCTATAAAAATAGCTGGTTAACTATGCATGAAAGCATTTCCAATGSGGGAAAAAAAAAGGAAACTTTTTTCCTAGGCTTGTATTATGGTGTATTCTAATAAGCTGTGAGACCATCTCAGACCTTTGCAGGTTAAAGAGGCTCCTTACCATACAATAGGCATGCTTTAAATCAAACCCTGTGTGCCAATTTTGCTCTAATGGAGTACCTAGGAAATAAGTTTCTTATTATGTATTATGTATCTAAATCCTGTGATGACTCCCTGCATGGTTTTCATGACTTTCTGCCTGAATATTATTTGATAGATCCAATAGGAGACTTTCCTCTAGTGCTTYAGGTGTTCTCATGGATCCAGTACAAGCTTTTTGTTGCAAAAGAACTAATTTAGCTAACCTAAAACAAATCCTCAGTTGGAAAGGTCTGTGTTGCATTGAGGAGAACTGACACCTGGAGCATTCAGGAGCCCCTTTGGCWGTGGTTGCATCTGGGGCTGACACCTCAGTGTCCAGCTGTGCAGCTACTCAATAGTTTGAGGCTGGTTTTTCTTTTTTTCCCCTTTAAATGCTTCCACTTCATCCCCAGAACAAAGTGGGAAAATTTTTGAAATCTAATAATTTGACAGTATGGYAACTGTACTATTTTTCCCCAGGAGAAGGTCTGCAAGAGTCTTCTCTTTTGGACARGAACTGTCTTTCAGAGAGGACCCCAGAGCCCTTTGCTCAGCAGCATCTGGCAAGTTTCAGTGAGGCTCAGAAGTGTTTCTGCTGAGCCTTGGTCTTGTAATGCATCGCTTTAAGGCAGTCTCATAAATTATTAGTACACTGCATGTAGATGATGTTTCTTGTCCCTAAATCTTTAAGTCATTTACTGTACTGGCTCTCCAAAACACATCATGTTTTTTCATAGTTGAGAGTGAGAAACTTAGACATAATGTCAGTATGCTATACTGAGTTTTACTAATATTGAAAAACTGATGTAGGACTTGGACTAATATTTTTATTTTAAAATAGCRTGATTTACAGTAAAATGCGGAGCTCAGGAATAAGTCACACCTATGTTTTCCATGTGAATGCTGCAACCTAGGCTTCGTGAGGTCAGAAATTCCCTGCTGGCCCTGGGGGCAACTCCTTTAGTTTGTTGA